AGAAGTCCAAAACCCCCTCTCTCTTTCGAGTCTTGTAGAAGTTTACATTTAATTCTTGCTTTCTTTCTTTGCCATATAAATCTTAATATCATTGCGTTTAAATCGTCAAAAAATTTCTTACCCAGCTTTACGGGAACTGTTTGAAATAAAAAAATTAGCTTTGGTAAAATGTTCATTTTAACAGTCGCTATTCTTCCTAACAATGATAGTTGGAGATTCTCCCATTTTTCCAGGTCAATTTTTATTTGTTTTATTAGTCTCTCATAGTTATCTTCTTTTAGTAATGAATATTTCGCCGTAAGATAGATACCTAAATATTTAACTTTTTTAACTATTTGAAGATTTGTCTTTTTGGCGAGTTGAGTTTTCTGTTTATCAGTTAAATTTTTTGTTAACACTTTAGTTTTTTCCCCTATGTATTTTCAATCCAGCCACGTCTCCAAACTTCTCAATTTTCTGCAAAAGTTTAGGGGCTGTTTCCAAAGGCTCCTCTAAGATAAAGACCAGATCATCCGCGAAAGCCTGTAATTTATATTTCTAGTCTTTAATCTCAAGACCTTTAATTTCTATGTCTTGCCTGATGTTTCTAGTTAATACCTCCAGAGTAAAAATAAATAGCAGGGGCTCTCACACATTTCTTGACTTAGATTTGGTGATGTAAGGATCTTAAAGGAGAAGTCTCTTCTCTTATTCTCTATAAAACACCATTGGCACTAGATAAAAAATGGTAACTGTTGTGTTTTCGGTTCGCAAGCAATTGACGAAGACGCATGGTGGAAACAACAGCTCTTTATTCTCCTTCTCCAACTCCAAGCGAAAAGCAAAAGGCACACAGGCCTTTTATAGGGTCAGGAACCCAGTCAGTGCTAACCAATAGGAACGCAGCATTTTCGCGCCTTGTGCATGCGCGCAAGGCTGGCGCCGCTCTGTCTGGTCCCAGGCAGCTTTTACAATGCCCGGGACCATTTGCAACCTTTCTGGGCCTGCTGAGTTTCCTCAACAGGCCCAGGACACAACACCCCTCCCCCCTAGATAGAAAACACACAATTCCAATTTTTTTACAATAATAATAAAATAAAAAAATAATATTCTACTCCATACAACACCCTTCTATAACTAATAGGGTTAGCTAACCAACCACTCTCTAATGTGGACTTTGCGTATCTATCGTTTACCCAACATAGGTCCCCATCTCCTTGACCTAGACCTGTATGGTCCCTTGTGTTGACAGGAACCTCACATAATTGCCTAGATGCTTAGGAGGGGCCTTAGCCCGTTGTGACCTATGCAAAGTTAGGGAGGGGGCCTGGCTTGTCAGCTCACCTGCTCGGCTAGGCAGACCAGGACTTGTACTTAAGGGCGCCTGGCCTACTGGCCCGTCTGGTGGGCTCGCTAGACCAGGACTTTTATGCACGTTTTGCAGGTGACCCCTGGTGAGGCGTACTGGCAAAATTGCCAGAGCTCTTTCCAGGCTCCGTTAGAGCAGCTGGAATTCCCCAACCTTCTGAATTGGCTGAGGATTCCCCAACTACCCTGGATGGCTCCAGGGAACTTAATCCCTCGAGCCCGCGACCAGTCTCGGACGTGACCTGCATTGCAGGAGTGCCCAATAGTTCCAGTCCCCTGTGGCCGAAGTGCCAGAGTCAGGAGCCGCCTCTATGGCAAACTCCTCCTCAGGTGAATCCCTGTTTGGAGCTCTTGCGGATACGCATGACTCCCTGTTTGGCGCAATAGCTGAACCGTGAGGATGCCCTTGCTCGACCCCTGGGAAATCCCTAGCGTCCTGCAGTAATTCCCAGGAGCAATGAGGCAGGGTCTCCAGATGTTGACCTGAAGTGCGATCTGGCTCCTGGGCCCCCTCCCCCCGAGAGCAGAGGCAGGGGTGGAAACATCCTGCGACAACCGCCAGCGCAGTTGATCAATGTGACGCCTCAGGACACGGCCATCTCCCAAGGTCACTTCGTATGATAGAGGTCCATATATCTTACAGATGACAGCAGGGACCCAGAGGTGTCCAGGACCATAGTTCCTAGCCCAGACCGGATCGCCCACCTGAAGTCTCCTAGGTGCCCGCGGTTGTGACACCTGTGAAGCCACCCGGTCAGGTTGCAGTCTATCCAACTTAGTAATGAGGCGGCGGCCCCAGCGTAATTCAGCTGGGCTCTTTCCGGTGGCAGTGCATGGTGTGGTGCGATGTGCAAGAAGGAAATCTGCTAACCTGTGATGCCAGCTGCCGTATGTTAGTCGTTTGAGTGCGTCTTTGGTGGTGCCAAAGACGCACTCAACACTTGCCCGTTGGTGGAAGGGTGAAAGGGAGCTGACATTGCATGCCAGATCAGGTTGGCCTGAAGGAAAGCCTGGAACTCACAAGATGTAAATTGAGGACCATTGTCAGAGACAAGCACATCTGGAAGGCCATGGGTAGCAAAAATCCCTCTTAACACCTGGATGGTCCTGGCAGTAGTAGTGGAGGAGACAGGTACAACCTCTAGCCACTTGGAATGGCTATCCACAAGGATAAGGAAGAATTGCCCCTGGAAGGGCCCAGCATAATCTAAATGTACCCTTGACCAAGGGGTGTGTGTCTCCTCCCACCTGTGTACTGGGGCCTGAGGCATTTCAGGCCATGATTGTTGGCACACTTGGCACCCGTGCATCTGAGCCTTGATAGCTTTATCAAGCCCAGGCCACCAAAGATGGCTGCGCACAAACGCTTTCATGCGCACAGTGCCTGGATGTCCTTCATGCAGAGAGGACAAGACCCTAGACCTCAGTGAGGTAGGAATAACTACTCTACTCCCCCATAATAGGCACCCATTAAAGGTAGACAGTGTGTGTCTCCTTTGCCAGAAACTTTGAAATGTCGCATCTGGACACGTGTCAGGCCATCCTGACAATACCCATGTCACCACGCGTGCAAGCGTGTGATCAGTGGCAGTCTCTGCAGCCACGTCCCTAGCATTGAGGGGAGATTCAGGCAACTCTTGAATAGAAAGAACATTAATGGCAGGAGCAGGGTCTGGCTCTACCTGTTTCAGAGGTAATCTGCTTAGGCCATCTGCATGACCCATCTCTGTACCAGGTTTATGAACTAGAATGTAGTCATATGCTGACAGGAAAATGGACCATCTCAGCATACGAGGAAAAATGATATGAGGTGTCTGTTTGTTGTAAACAGCCCCAGCAGAGGCTTATGGTCTGTATAGACCGTGAAGTGGCGGCCATATAAGAAATCGTGGAATTTCTTAATACCAGCCACTATGACCAAGGCTTCTCTGTCAATCTGAGCGTAATTCCGCTCTGCAGATGACAGAGTCCTTGAATAATAGGCCACAGGGACTTGTGTCCCATCAGCCTTCAGATGACTAAGTACTGCCCCCACTCCATAAGGAGATGCATCGCATGCGATGCAAACAGGCAGTTGCTCATTGAAATGCGCTAAAACAGCATTGGAAGTGAGCAAGGCCTTAACCTCATTGAAACTCCTGTCATGGACTTTAGTCCACTGCCATGGAGCCTGCTTGTCTAAGAGCCTATGTAACGGCTCTGCCACAGCAGCCTTATGTGGGAGAAATGCATGGTAAAAATTCAAGAGTCCCAAGAAGGCTTGTAGCTCACTCTTGGACTTTGGACTTGGGGCCTGCTGAATAGCTTGCAGTTTGTCTTCAGCAGGGTGAATGCCTTGGGCATCAATCCTGAAACCTAAGAAGTCAGTTGACATGACTCCTATCTTACATTTATCCTGCTTTAAGTTAAGGCCTGCTTTGCGAAAACGAAGCAAGACAGCCCTTAATCTCTCTGCTAGATTTTGAGATGACTCCCCAGCAATGAGGACGTCATCAAAATAGGGGCAGACCCCAGGAATACCTCGAAGTGTGCTCTCCATGACACTTTGGAATATGCCAGGGGCTACATTTACCCCAAATTGCAGTCTCTTGACCTTGAAGGCCCCCCTGTGAGTTACAATAGTCTGGGCCTCTGCAGCTGCCTCATCAACAGGTAACTGTTGATAGGCCTGTGCCAGGTCAAGTTTCGCAAAGATGCGCCCCCCCTTGAGGGAGGCCAGAATGTGGCTTACAACAGGCACTGGATAAGCGTGCTGTTGCAACGCCTTATTCAGTGTGCACTTGTAATGTGCACATATATGAACTTCCCCATTAGCCTTTAGAGGCGTTACTATGGGGGTTTCCCATGGACTAGAATCCACAGGTTCTAAGATGCCCTGCTGGAGCAATTTGTCCAGCTCAGCATCTATTTTACCTTTGAGGGCAAAAGGTACCCTTCTAGGCTTGACCCTGATGGGCATGATAGTTGGGTCTAACCGTAGCGCAATGGGAGGCCCCTTGTAGGATCCTAGCTCTGAACTAAACACATCTGAAAACTCCTTGCAGACTTCTGCAAGGCTCAACGTTTGCAATCGAGTCCAATAAGACTCGTACGTTCACCCCCAACTACCACCACATCTAGGAGACCTTCAAAATCCTTATGCTGTACCCTAAGGGTGGCCTCCCCCTTAACACACACCATAGATTTCTGAAAATCTGTAAGTATTAGATTCGATGGCCTGAGTTTAACTCGAAGGCCACTACTACTACAAATCCTTTTGAATGTGTTAATTGAAATAATTGAGAGAGCGGACCCAGTGTCCAACTCCATTAATAAGGGAACCCCTTGCAACCTTACATTAATGGAAAGTTTCTTCTTAAAGGGCTTGTGTGTCCCTGTCCTTAGAATTCTCCTACGCGATGCGCAGAAACCCACCCTGTGTTGGCTGGGGACCCTGGTACCTTTCTGAAGCAATTCTTCCCGAGGTTGGACCTTCTGGCGACCCAAACAGACGGATGCGATGTGGCCTTGCCTGCCACACGCCCTGCAAATGGCAGAGTAAAACCTGCAATCAGCTCGCTTGTGGCGTCCTCCGCACCCGAAGCATTGAAGAGATGCTGGGGCCTTGTCCGGACGTCCCTTCTGCCTCCTCTCAGCTGGCTGGTGAAGTCTGTCCACCTCCTCTTCAGGATCCGCTTCGGATCCTTCTCTAGCGTTCTCTTGAAGGACGGTAGCTGTGTCTGGAGGGTTCCTGGCGAGCCGCAAGGCCTTCACAGCCCCGCCTGCTGCTTCCTCCGCTGCCACCTCTCGTAAGGCATCTTGGAAGGAAACATCTTCTTTTGCAAAGATCTTCTGTTGTAAGTCTCTGATCCTTAAGCTGCAAACGAAGCGATCTCGCAGCCTCTCTTCCAGATCCTTGAACTCACAAGGCCTGGCCGCTTGCCTTAAGGCAGCAATAAAGTCCGCAGCAGATTCACCCGGCCTCTGGTCTCTCTGCTCGAACGCGTGCCTCCAAGCAATGACGGATAACTTCGGCTGGAAGTGTTCCTTCAACATCTTTTTCAAATCAGCATATGTTACTGACTCGAGAGGTGCAGGGGCCACCAGATTTTCTGTGATGTCAAAAGCTTCTTGTCCACAGGCACACAAAAGAGTTGCTGCCTTCAGGCCGTCTTCTCTTATCTGATTTACTCTAAAGTAATTCTCCACCCGTGCTACGTAGGAATTCCATCTCTCTGGGTGGGAGACATCGAAATCAGTTAAGCGGCCAATCTTCGACATCGTAAAATTTACGACCTTCACCAATCGCTTCCTCTGCAAGCTGATGTTTGGGAAAGGGTCCTTTAGCCGAGCTCACCCCCCCAGCGACGCTGTACTGGCAGAATGGGATGCTGATGCAGACGCCGTCTTCCCTCGTCAGGACTTCCTGGGTAAGTCCTTCTTCATTTCTTTAAGCTTGCAAAAGGATCCCACCTTCGTCGCCAGTTGGTGTTTTCGGTTCGCAAGCAATTGACGAAGACGCATGGTGGAAACAACAGCTCTTTATTCTCCTTCTCCAACTCCAAGCGAAAAGCAAAAGGTACGCAGGGTCAGGAACCCAGTCAGTGCTAACCAATAGGAACGCAGCATTTTCGCGCCTTGCGCATGCGCACAAGGCTGGTGCCGCTCTGTCTGGTCCCGGGCAGCTTTTACAATGCCCAGGACCATTTGCATCCTTTCTGGGCCTGCTGAGTTTCCTCAACAGGCCCAGGACACAACAGTAACATTCACCCATCTCATTTTGAGCTGTCAAAACACTGTCATATGATTTCTATCACTATTCAAGATCATCTCTGCGCCACATCAATCACACATAGCTGGTTTTATAAGCTATATTTTCAGACAATGTTCATCCCCCCCCTTTTTTTTTCATTCTGTCCATTCATCTCTCTTTCTCTCCTGTAGAATAATGAGGTATTTGAAATATTCCTCAAACTATCATTCTCTTTTATCCATCTTGGTGTTCATCTCCATTCCTGCTGATTATATGATTATATGCTACTCAGATTCTCCAGAAATGCAGAAGTAAATAAAATAAATAAAATAATCCACCAAGTATTTAAACCTATGTTTCTCATCCACTGAAATGTTCATTAACATATTTACCTAAACTTCTTATTTAATAGGGCTTTTTAAAAAAAAAATCAGGGTTAAATGAATATAGCCATCATACCTCTTGAAGTTCTGGGCTTAACATTTCTCGTAATCCTTTGTCACTGTCTATGATAATTGGGTCTGAGGAGAATTAAAATCTAAAATGGGTTAGAGTGGGACTATTCATATTCAAATTTCAGCATGACTAGGAAAATGCTTTGAGCCAGTCACTGTCTCTCAGTTTTAGCTATCTCATAAAACCAGTTGTGAAGACAAGGAGAGCTTTTTGAGAGAAAATGAGATAGAAAAAGCAGTATGCAAATGTTAAATCACTGAACTTCTCCATTTGTCTCAGATCTAATTATATCCTGCTGTCAGCCTTCTCCAACCCAGCACCCTATCCTACTAATCAGGCAGTATGATCCAAAATCTAATGTTTGAGAATTATAGTCTCTGATATCAGGAGGGCATCACTAGGAAAAAAACATTTCTCATTTCTTCATTTCTCTACAAACTTGGCAACAGCCACCTAAACATTTGGCTTCTTAATTGTCCATTTACTTGTCATTAAACCCACCTTTTATTATTAATTCTTTTTACTTAGCAGTTTCTCCATCCATTTTTACCCCATGAATGTGGACCAAAGTCTCCTTTCTCCTTTTGGCAACACCACAATTTCTTTTTTTGATACCTTAAAATTAATTTTATTACTACAAAGCTTTGGAAAGTATCACAAGACTGTTTTGACTCACAAGAGGGTTGCAACACTACCCACCTGAAAACTCAGGTTTAGTCACTCACCTTTCTCCATCGTGCGTCCATGTGAAGCATGCCTTTGTCTCATCCCCGTTGCTTTTGGTACGCTGTGCGTCTGACGTTCTGAAGTGTTGGATTTCTCATGGATCTGATGCTCCAACATGCTGATCTTTTCCTGAAGAGTATCCCACATGGAGGTGGGGAAGGTTGAACTATTCCAGTTGTGCTGGAGAAGTCAGAGCAAGTGCTCATGTTAATAATATTCTGCCATTTCTCTGGACCTTTCTCCTAGACCACCTCTATTGTGCTGCCTCTCTCCCTTCCTTAAAATTCCACCTGAAAGCCATTATTGGTATGAAGCATTTGGTCCAATTCCTGAGTTCCTGCCTATATTCGGCCAAGCCGAATTTTAGATTGTATTTGCAAATGATGGTATGTTTTCTTCTTGCCTGAAATGAGATTCCTACTAATGGTACCATACACATTATCTCTTCCTGTTCTGTGCCTCGCTATTACCCCCATTTAACCCATTTACAATGCAATCCTATGCAGGTCTGCTTAGTCTTCTTCAGTCCAATGGGTCTTCCTTCCATTGCATGTACATAGAGGATGCTAAATTTAGCCGTCTTCCTGCACTAACCCTGTCACACAACAAAGAAACTCCTGGAGCTCCAGATAGAAGTTCTGCTAAAAGAAGGGACTTTTGCTTGTTTTGCAATAGCCACTCCACGTACAAAAAGATCTCCTTGAATAACTTTGCTCCATCTGAAGCTTCAACGGAATCAGAATTGAACCCGGGCTCCTTATTTATTTATTTATTTTATTTATTTATTTAATTGCATTTATATCCCGCCCTTCTCCTTGCGGACTCAGGGCGGCTGACAATGATTAAAATACTAACATATACATCTAATTAAAAATTGATTAAAAAGAAATATTTAGATACGTCAAATTTAAAAGTAATTAAAACCCCTTTAAAATCCCTTAGGCCAGTCCCGCGAGC